CACACCCCCATCCCCAGTGGATCTCCTATCTTCCCCAGTCTGCTTGCCCTCCCACTCCCCTCATCCTGACTTACCTGATATCAAGCAAACATTATGAACCAATTTAATCCCCCCATAATGCCCCCAAATGTCTGTACTTAGCTTTCATTATTTTATAGATCTCTATCCTTTTCCCCTCAGCTTTTTCCTTTCCAAACTGAAGAGACCTACCCTTTTTATTCTCTCCTGGTATGGCAGCTGCTCCATAATCCTGGTCATCTTGGTTGCCCTTCTCTGTACATTCTCTAATTTTACTATGTTATTTTTGAGATGTGGAGAACCACATACAGTGTTCAAGTGTGAGCTCACCATGGATTTGTATAACAGTATGATGGTATTTTCCATTTTGTTTTCAGTTCTCTTGTTAATGAAGCCAACATTTTATTAGCTTGTGTGGTCACGACTGCATATTGAGTTAATTTTTCAGAGAATCATCTATGACAACTCCAGGGTCTCTTTCCTGAGTCATAACAGATAGTCCAGAACCTAGCACTGTATTTGTACAGTTGAACTTATTTTCCCCCACCTTCAATGCGTCAGCTTTGAAGTCCAACTGTCATTTTTTTTGCCCACTCACTTAACTTTGTGAGATCTCTCTGCAGCTCCTGTCAGTTTGGGATTTGACTATCCATACTGAGTTGTCATTCTCATACTGAAGGTTCCTCAACCTTTCATGACAATCTATAATATTTGTCCTTGTCTCCTAATAATTCTTCAAACATTTGCTCCACCAAAGAAGCTAACCTCTACATCAGCCACTCCTGCTTCTGTGCCTTTTCCCTTTCTATCTCCAATGCATGGAGAAACCTGCCTGTCAAATCACTACCACTTCCTTGTTAATCTTTCTTTGAAAAGCCTGTTGCTTACACGTAGGATGCCAGTTTACCAGAGAACAACAGTAACTTGAATAAAACTACATACATTCAATTAGTGAAGTATGGCATGGTTCTATTGTCTTTCAGGTCTGGCAGACATTATTTTAATTGTGCATTATGTATGATTATCAAAAGACACATTGTAACATGCCAGCTAATAAACCAGTTTATCCCAGAATAGCAGTGGCAGATGAGCTACAAAGAAGGCACTCGTTGAAATAGCAACTTTTTCATGGCATGGAAGTATCCTGTGATAATTCTAATATATGGCCAGTTGGCAGGTGTGATACTTGTATATAACGTACAACAAATGTAACATCTGCCAGGGGCTTACATTTGGTTTCTTACTTTCATGTCTGGTACCCAATTTAAAATTAGTGTATAATTTCTTTGGGTTACCGAAAATACCTTCCTACTGTAAAGTAGCATTAACATTGTGAAGTTTACCTACTCGGTTTTTTTCTACTCCTTCGGTAATTTATTTATTTATAGAACTTCACTTTTAACTGAACAATTTTTTCATTAATGAAATGCTGAGGTTTACATCCATGTCTCTCATGCATCTCTTGTGGATTTCTATGGGAGTTCTGTACACAGAGCAAGTGCATATCAGGGTTCATGTGGACATAACCTAAAAACCTATATGCAAGTAGCTCCACTGATTTTAATTGGGCCTGCCTGCATAAGAAGCCCTTGCAGTTGTAAGACCTTGCAGGCTGAGGTCTTTAATGCATGAATCCAGAGTTTCAAAAATACATACAGATTCTGCAGCTGAAAGGAACATGCATCATAGTTTACCATTTTAACCTTTGATTCTGCAGTATTATCATTTACTCGAGAGGATGAGTCAAGAGCTACCTGGAAACTGTGGCTGCAGGTTAATTGTTGAAATTCCAGGAGAAAGCTGAGGCTGACCAGGCTCTAGTATAGTTTTTTCTTGATCATCAAGTGAAGCTAATTCCTGAAGAAAAATGGATTAAAAATAATAATTTGAAGATGTGCTTTTAATTCAGTTCATTGGAACGTAGCGGCTAGGAAAAAAAAGTGACAGTTGTCCCATATGAATTATTGGATAGCAAAACACTGAGTATACCTAATCAATATATTATATTATGATTGCATGTAATTTTTAAACAATGGCTTGCCATTAAAAAATTGCCATTATCTGAAGTGGTCACTTAATTAGATTCACAGTCCATGTCTGTATTATTTATAAATTGTTCACTCTTGAACAGTTCGAAATGTACTTAATTTCAGTTTTGCATGTAACTTTATATTTTATATATAGACCTATACAAGGGTGGATCTGGGGAGATGGGGCACAGTGGTGCAGTTGCGCCTGTCTTGATTCCTGGTTCATATCAATTTTAAAATCAGTTGCCTGGCAATGGCAGCAGCATTTCTAACCAGGCAGCAATGAGTCACTTAAGAGCTCAGTATAATCTACCTGAGTCCTTCTAAACTCTTCATTCCACAGATGTTAATGACCCTTTCTCCTTTTTAATGGTCTTGATGTTACAACTAATCAAGCTATCCTTTCTTCAGCAATTCTGCTGTCAGTTAGCTGCTCCTGGTGGGGTTGCCAACCCTCCTGGATTGGCTGGGAATCAGCATTGATTTCCCAGTGACTAGTGAAAGCAATCTGGGAGATTTTAATAGGATATTTAAAAAAAGAAAATCTCCCAGAATAGCTTCAGTCAGAGTTGGCAACCCTAGCTCCTGGTAATGAAGCTGCTATTTAACAGCATTGTGGACTGTTGTTAACTCTAGCTAAACACATTAACTCAAGTGTGAAAATAACTTTTAGTGAAAAATTAGATGCACTGCCAACAAGCTCAAGAAGCTAGATTTTGTTTTATGAATCTGGATAAGAGATGTACAGTAAAAGCTGTGTTAACTGCCTTTTTAGTAACCGGCACACTCTACTAACTGGAATTTCCAGCTGGCTGGCCGGATGTGGGAGGGGGTGGGAAAGCTCGCATGTGGTGGCAGCCGCTGCCACCCCTACCCCACACTCCACATCCAACCGAAAACCCCTGCCTCGGGTAGCCAGCATTTTTAGATTACTGGCACCCCTCATTCCCCACACATGCTGGATAACAGAGCTTTTACTGTACATTTAACTCTAATGACTCATGAAACAACCATTTTAAAACTATTTGTTGCCTAGCTTATTGTGTTTTATACATAATAGCAAATCAACGTATATTCCAATAATGTTATACTTGTTTTTGCTTTGATTTTAACTGGAATAATATAGCCATAGGCCCCTGGCATATTACTAAAGAATCTCATTTCTTTTTAACCAGAGAAAAATGTGTTGCTTTATATGGGATGATGCACAACACCATCTGCACCTGCCTTTTCAAAATCCTATATCTGCCCATGGATCTATATTACCCATGCAGAACACACTCATGTAACTGTAGATCTCTGACCATTATGATTAATTCTCTTATCCTTTGTCTTGCACCTTTTATTTTCATATGATTATGAAGCCTGCATACCTACAGAGAAGTAAAATGAAGCACACCTATTGTTATTCCTACCAAATCAAAGCAGAAAGTTTTAGAAGATTGCTTACTACAATACAGTACTCTATTTTAGAGCCTTGCTTTTCATAATCACACAGACCACTCAGTGGAGAAAATAACAGCATGCCTCAGCAAAAGGTACATAAACAAATACCAAGCAAATCCTTGATTTATATGACTTTTTATATTTTTTCTGTTTAAAAAGATCACAAAATATATTGACGGTTTCTGTCAGAAAGATGTGCAAAGTATTACAATTATATAACTTCATATGGGGGAAATTTGAGTCATAGGCCACTTCCACATGTGCATGGACGTTTGTTTCTCAGGGGCGCACCTTGTCCTTGGGGAATGTCTGTGCCACATGCCCTCTGGCACGCAGCAAGTTATCCTGAGTAGAGTAGGGGAGGCTGCGGCCAGCACTGGGCTGGCTCCAGTAGCCTTACCTGGGGTCCTGGAAGCCTTCTGGGGCTGCAGCAGTGGCAATCCTGCTGCATAGAGCTTGGCTGGCAGCTGCAGTGTGACTTCAGCCAGCTGGGCTCTGGTTTTGAGTGGTGCCACTTTTTTCTGCAGGTTTTTTTGCCCCCTGGATATCCTTGCAGCACAGAAAACAACTGAATGTGTGGTATATGGTGCTGCAGACATGTCTGCGGTGATACCACACAACCACACTCATCTGGACATGGCCATAGTGTTTAAGCAGGCAGGAAACATTAGATCATTTGGTTTCATTTCCTGATTACCAGAAGCCATTAAATTTCACACTGTACTGAGCGCAATAATTTGAGTTTAACTAGGGGATAACTTGTGTGTTGGCTCAGGTATACTTTTCAGTTTTGATATGGATCATAAAAAAAGGAGACTTCATTCCTTCCCTTTAGTTTGATCCAATGGTTAGTCAGCCTCACTCTTTAAAATGTGTGCCTTATTAATCATACGAATTTTACTGCAGTACATTTTCAACCACACATTTTCATAACCACATGGAGTTTAGTGTAGTTGTTTAGTGTTATAGGCCATGTGTAGATGAAATGAAGGACGTGTGCATGACACTTTAAAGCGGGTTAAGTGCTTTTGCACCGCTTTAATGATGTTGGTGTTTGCAAGTGTCAGCAGTATATTGCGCAGTAATTCCAGCTGCTGTAGCAAATTCAGTGGCGTAATGCGCCTTGAATGACTTGGGGCGCAACAAACTAAAACACCTCTGAAGAGTTTTAGTTTGCTGCCCTACAGCTGCACAGTGAAGCACTGGGCTTCATGCAGCTCAGGGGCTCTGCAAGAAGCTCATGCAGGCAGCCTGACAGCAGCCTGGGAAGGCAAGCTCTGCCCAAGGAGACAAAAAAAAAAAAAAAAAAAGCAGTGAGCCTGATCTTTATTTTCCCCACCCTGGAGCCTGCCTGCCTGCCTGGGCTGCACAGGGGCCCAGTGTTTCCCTCTGCGGCTGCAGTGTCCCCTGGGACCACTGGAGCTGGGTGCCGCCTGGAGGGGGGGACGCCGCTGCCATGGAGGGAAGCACCCACCCCAGCCCCCGCAGCCCAGGGACCACTCTGCCTACCAGCAGCCCCTCCCTGCCATTGGAGAGGCAGGTAAGTGCATGGGTATGTGCATGACACAGGCATTTACTTGGCCCTAAATTGAAGTGGTGTTTTTAAAAACCCACCGCTTCAATTTAAGGCCCCTGCTTCATCTACACACACCCTTAGTGTATTTTGCAAACTATCCATATGGGCCCCAATTGAGGGAAGCATACCTCATCCGGATAGCACCTTAATTACATACTTAATTCTGGGTTTACAGCCCATTGAAGCAAATGGAGCATGAACATATGCCTAAATTTAACCACAGGTTTTGCTGAACAGCGATGCAGTACTGAACCAACACCTAAGCTTTATGGCAATAACACTGAATTGGAAGCCAAAGCTTTAATGTTTATGATCAGGGATCCGGGTTTTCCATTTCCCATGGAAAAACAGAGTAAAACACAGATTTCCTCCTTGCCACAGTAAAGTGTGGATTTCTCATTTTAGCAGAGAAACCTGCATATTTTGCAGTGTTGCAGCCTGCAAGGGGCTGGGAGGGAGTGGGAGGAGTGCAGTCAGGCAGTGGGCACCATGTGCATGTATATACACATGGCCCCAAGCAGTCTGGAGAGCAGCTCCTGCAGGTAAGTGTGTGTGTGGGGGGGGAGGGGTTGGGGAGACTGAGGCCCCCATAGGGAGGGAGGGACAGTGTTGGGCAGGGCTAGAGCTAGGGCTACTGCCTTGCCAGGCAATGTGAGGGGGTTGGGGCTTGGGGCCGCAATGCATAGCCACAGGGCCCTGGCAGGGAGCAGGACAGGCTGCGGGTGGCTTGTCCAGAGGCAGGGGGGGATGGATCCCCACTACCGCACACACTCCTGGAGGGGGAGGGGGAGGGGGAGGGGGAGACCTGCATCTCCCAGATCTGTGCATGGGACAGAAGCGGAGATGGGCTGTGCACTGTGGGCTTGAGCTCCCACCCTGCTGCCCTCCCCCAGGGCCTTCGCAGCCTGACAGGTGTGACCTGGTGCTACAGGGCAGAGTGCAGCCGCACAGGGAAGTTGGTTGCAGCTGCAACCTCCGTGCTTCCCTGGTGATGCATCCCCTGCATGTGTGGGGGCAGCATGGGCAGCAGTGCAGGGTTGTGGCTCTCACTGCAGCCCCAAGCAAAGGGGAGGCATTGCCAGGGTAGCGCAGAGCTCGCAGCTGCAAGCAGTTTTTCTGTGTGGCCCAGCATCCGGGTCACACCCACTGGACTGTGGAGGCCCCAGGGAGCAGCAGGGTGGGAGCCCAAGACTGCAGGATGTACCTGCCCCCACCCCTGCCCCATGCACAGGTCTGGGGGTGCAGTTCCCCCCCTGCCCTCCAGGAGTGGGCACTGCCCCCCCCCCAAACCCATATTAGGCAGTGGGGGCAGAGCCAGGCTCCATGGTCTGCTCTGTTGCATCAGCTACTGCCTTCTGTTGGGGGCAGGGAGCTGCATACCCAGGTCCTGGCCCCATAGCCCTAGCGGCTGAGGGCCCCTCTGGCAGGGCTGGGGGGAGGCAGGGGGTGTGGG